TATTACTTCAAGCCTTCATTTTATTCCAGCATTTGACTAACTAACCTTTGTGTGGCAAAGTGAAATCTGATTATTTGAATTAGTCTGGGAATTTTTACATTTTACACAAAAATTCGGTTATTGATGGAGTCGTCGATGTCACACACAGGCACCTCAAACAGTCTGTTCTGTCATATTTGAAGAAATATGAATAAGAAGATGCACATCAGTGCAGGACACAGACATTAAAGTTGTGGCTTTGGAATAAAAGCTTTTTTTGACAAAATGTGACTGAATGCATTTGTCCCTTTGTTCCTCCATCACTCAGGACTGGGAACCAGTAATGGAGAGCGCTGGCGGCAATTAAGGGAATTCACATTCCGGACACTCCGAGATTTCGTCACTGGCCAGAAGAGAACGGAACAGAGCATTCAAGAGGAGGCCAAGCACCTGGCCAAGGAACTGTGCAGCGCAGAGGGTGAGAGCCATAGAGCGGACAAGGGAGAAAGGGGAGATGAGCAGCATTCAGGGGGCAAGAGAAAACAGGAGCTGCACAGCACATGGGGGAGAGGGGGTTCATAAGAGCTGCACAGGGGGCAAGAGAAAATAAGAGCTGCCCAGCACAGAGGAGTTAAGAGAAACAGACAGCAGTGGGGCTGGTCCCACCGTTATTACCATATGTAGAAGATTCCTGCTCCTGATATACTGGCTCAGGGAATCTTCACACATGAAATACTAAAAGACAGTTGTATATTACAGTCCAGGGGGATTCCTGGCTTTATTTAAAACAACAGGGTTTTTTTTTTAACAAAACAAAAGTCTTTTCCAAAAATTTTGGAATTTTCAGAGGCTTAGATGGGAGGAAATATCTATAGGTCAACATTTTTCCATGTATGGAAATAAAATAAAACATCTCAGATCCTTGTGTACTGCATACAGGTAGCAGAAGCTTACGAGGTCAGACAAGATAACATTGGTACTTTGTGGTCTAAATTCAAAGTTAGTATATTACATCTGATGTAAACCTAGTACATGGGATTCACTCAGTCAGCACCATTATGTCTTGCAAGTATGGTTTTGGCAGCATTTAGGCTGCTGTCAAGACTGATAAAAGCATAGATGGAGCAAAGCACCGTCACATCATGGAGAAAGACCTAAAATTGTTGCTAAAAAATCACCTTTCAACAAGACAATGATACAAAACACAAGACCAAAACTACACTGAAATGGTTTAAAATAACTAGGTGAATGTCTTTGAGAGGACCAGACAAAGTCCTGATTTGAATCATACTGAAAATCTGTGGAAGGACTTTAAAAATGCTATCCATAGCCGATCTGCAAGCAACCGGATTGAATTTGAAAAAATCTGCTAAGAAGAATGGGCAAAATTTGCAATAAGGCAGTGCGCAGAGTTTGTAGAAAGGTCCGTTAAAATATTTGCTGTTTCAATTGCCGTCAAAGTTTTTTACAACAAATATTAAGTTCTCATGTCTGAATACTTACAGTATGCACTCAACTAACAGTATTCCATTTTTTCCCTTTATCTTATTATCCATTGACATTTACTGTAACACTACTTTTCTATAATTTCACAAAATGGGGAAAATAGAAAGGGTATTAATATTTTTTCGAGGCACTGTAGTTTATTGGTTCATATTTTTCACCTTTTTTATGAGAGGGAACTACATTAGTAATTCTTTAGTATTTGGATACCACCCATCTTTAGCAGCTGTTACGAGTTGTTGATTGCTTATGGAGATCATCCCTTGTATCCTTCAGTACCATTCAAAATGTACTATAGGGTGCTGGATATGTATTAGTCTTGAGTGCTTCTTATAATACAAACACTTCTGCCTCTTCTATGCTAATATGATTTAAATCACTTATTATCGACTGATTGAACACCATAGTGAAATATTAATTTACTGTAGTACATCTGCCAGTCTCTTCCATTTTCTTGAGCTGTCCCATTATTGTCCCAGATACATTTTAATTCATCCTTTTGGTTTCAACGGATATTGTTATAATGAAAGAACCTTTGTCATTTATTTTAGTTTCCATTGCAATATTGCAATATTATTTTATTTCCTGACACTTATATTATCTTTTTTTACTTCTGATTTTAGTTCATTTTAATCCTTCAATCCATTCATTTAAATCTGTTTAGAAATTGCTTTATTTTTCTATCTTATTCATTTACTTGTTAAACAATTTGGGATGTTTTTTTTATTTATTTTGATTAATGTTTTTATCTGCATGTAATACTTTGCACTAAATTTTATGAACCAGGTAATTGCATGGTTCCGGAAGATAAATTTAATATTCCAAGACTTAGTGGCCTCTGGTGACATGGCATTTTAATGTAGATCATTAAAAAATTCAGCAACTGCACAGCAATTTAAAATCTCAAAATTAGGCTGCCATGGAAGCATAAGGCTATGGGATGAAATACCATCCAAAAACAAAACTTTTAAAGTGTTTATTAAAAGAAAGAACAGCATTTTCAAAACCATATTGAATGAGGACAGTCTTCAGTGAAATTGTGTTATTTCTGTGCTATACTTAGCTATACTAATATCTCTGCAGCCCATTCCTGTTACAATCGGTATTTCCTTTATAAAACTAATAAGCTACTTAAAAATGCATGTTAAAGTCTTTTCAATAAAATCACTTAATTAGACTTATTTCATAAGACATTTGTATGATCACATCTTGGACAAGTCAAATTGCATAAAAAGAGTACAATTGTTATATTGTAAAAAATTAACTTAACAGAACACACCCACTATGGAGAAACAAGTACAGGCTGTGCACTCATGAACACAAAGAACGGATTTCTTCAAGTACTTGTGATGTGTGTGTACAGTATATGAATATTTGCAAATTCACTGTCCTGTGTTGATATTTCAACATAATTGAAGAAATAACATTACAGAAGATCATACTTCCCTTTTTAAAAAAAAACATACAAGGTGTCCTCTGTCTCTGTTAACTAATTAAGTAATTCCTGTAATCTGTCAGAGATAATTTTAAGGTTACCGGTGACGAGAGGTCTATTGGCCCACATAGCTCATTTGTTTGCTAGTAGCTAATTGATCTGTGGGTCTCGTCCAGCTGCTTCATTAAAGAAGCCAGGGTGGTAGTATCATCAACATAGCTGGGCAGCTTGTTCCAGGCTCCCACAATCCTCTGTTTTAATAAGTACCCATTGTTCTCAGTTTGAAATGCACGTCCACATACAGATTACATTCGTTTGTTTTTCACTGTTGATTCTAAAGTCTTGGGTGTTTATATTTTCTCTGTCTCTTTCCCAGGTACTCCCTGTGAGCCTACAAACTTACTGAATCTTGCAGGGTGCAATGTCATCTGCTCATTGGTATTTGGGGAGCGCTTTGACTATAAGGATCCAAGATTTGCACACCTGCTACATCTGCTTAGCGAAATGTTAAGTGGTGTACGTGGGCCATGGGGCCAGGTAAGGTCTGCTTGAAACAGTTCAAAATAGATGCCATTTTCACCCTTAACAAAAAGATATCCGTTTAAGCATTGGCAACTGTACACGAAGAACAGAATGTGAATTAAGAACTCAAGTTATTACTTTAAAGCTGTAATAAATAGATAATGGGGGAAAATGTTTTCTGTTTTTAACAGAATAGCAGTTTATAACTTTGCAAAGTAAGAAATTACACTCAAAGGTTTTAATGTGCTGCTACAAGACTGCAATTAATTTAAACTTTAAAGGCAGTATTTGATGTACAAGTGTAAGCATGTTGGGTTCCAGACTTTTTCAATTGTCCCAGTTAATTTCGTGAAGGGATATTATTTTCTTCCTTTTCAACAGCTGTACAACACCTTCCCCAAACTCCTGGAGTACCTTCCAGGTCCACACAGGCAGATATTCTCCTGTGCTGAGCAGCTGGCTGATTTTCTAATGGAGGAGATCTGTACGCACAAGAAGACTCTGAACCCCAGCTGCCCTCGGGATTTCATTGACTGCTTCCTTCTCAAAATGGAACAGGTAGAGAACTATCTACATCGACACATCAAGACAAGGGGTCACAGTACATTCTTACTCCTGATAAAGGGCGTCCGATTTCGCATTATTTTCTGTGAGTTGAGCAAGCTGTAAATCTTAAACTGCAGGTCTCAATTTTAAGGTTTTAATATATGGCTTCACTTTTACTTCTCCCCATTACATAACTTTCCCCGTTAGTGTGCTTTGTTTATAATTATTGCAGACTGTTGTTGGACGAAGCTAATTTAGTTTAATATGGATTTCAAATGAATGTGTATGCTACCGTAAAAGAGGTCTGACATCTGATATCAAATTTTAAGCAAGTATCATTTCTGTTTCCAAACTTTAATAACACTGCAGTCTGTGCCAATACGTGTGCTATCAAATCTCTTCACTGTTAGTTGCTGAAAATCATAACATAGCTAAACTTATGTCAGAATTTTTTTTGTTTCTGAAAGCAAATTCCTAAATTTCTGTTGCTTCCTGCACTAAGAGTAAACCAAAGAATTCTACATTTTGTTTCTGTGAACACAGATTGAAATTTAATCTTGATTCTTTGATTCAATTTTTCCTTGCAGGAAAAGGACAGCTCTTCTACCGAATTCCACAATAATAACATGGTGTACACCATCTTGGGTCTGTTCATTGCTGGTGCTGAGACCACGAGCACAACGCTGAGATATGCTCTGATGCTGGTAATCAAGCACCCTCGTGTTCAAGGTGAGATAGTTAAAGCAAACAGGAATCTGCCATGGTATTAAAACCTATACTTGTGGTGTCTACATTAGGACATCTTCCAAAATTCTGTCTTCCCTCATTCAAAACTCCTTCCCTTCCATCCTCCTCCAAAACTCACTGCAGATTACTTAGCCAGAACTGATCGGAACACGGCTCTATCACATGGTTTAAAATCTGAGGAAGAGGATTGTGAGTAAGAGCTTTCTGAGTAAGGTCTTGACTAGTGCGATCGAGATGTGAAAGTTTTAGACTTGCTATGCTTCCCCCCACCTCTGGCATAACAGCATTTAAATCTTTGGGGATTTTTCTAGGATAACATGAGAGACTTCAGTACAAGGAATAATAATTCAGCCTAGAGAAATATTTGAATTTGTTTAATAATTAGCTACTGAAACAAAAGCAGAAAAGAAGACATTTTAATTGTGAAGCTCACAGGTGAGGCAAATCATGAATCTTATCTAGCCTGACGGTCTCCTCTGCTTCTGTCTCTCAGAGAGGATCCAGAAGGAGATTGACGCTGTGATTGGTGCACAGCGCCACCCGGCCTTGGAGGACCTCAAGGCCATGCCCTTCACAAATGCAGTTATCCATGAGGTCCAGCGTCTCCTTGACGTCGTACCTATGAACCTGCCTCACATGGCCACCCAGAACATCTCCTTCAGGGGCTATACCATCCCCGCGGTGAGTGATCATGGTCCTTTGCCTGCATAGCGCTATTACCTGTGAGTACTGGGCTACTGTCCAGTGTCCACCCCTTTCAACACTCAAGATCAGCCTTGGGCAGCAGACAATATATTTGATTCTGCAATCAGTCAAGGCACGGCCTAGAAAAATGTATTGATGTGTACCAGGCTTCCCTCTAAACAGGTAGTGCGTGAGGCTTGAGTGTCTCATCAAAGTGCCAGTTGTAGAATATGTTCAAGTATGTATTTCATATGCAAATATTGCATCTCTTTTTCTATGTTAGTAAGAGTAATGGAGCAGTCCAAAGGGCCCATGCATTAATTTTCAAATACAAGTACAGTCTGAATAGCAGTTTACTGAAGATGGCTAGAGTGTGTGGGATCCAGTCCTATCATGGCTCTGGCCATGAAGGCATCACCCTACAATATCCATAGTGAAATATGTGGAAATAGCATTCCAGTTGGTTTGGAGATGAGGATTTAATGATGATGGTCTAGTTTCTCTCCTGTTCCTGTTGTGTGTCCAGGGTACCACAGTGATTCCTCTGCTTCATTCAGTGCTGAGAGATGAGGAGCAGTGGGCCTCACCAGACTCCTTCTACCCCCAGCACTTCCTGAATGGAGATGGCTCCTTCAAAAAGAACCCAGCTTTCTTGGTGTTTTCTGCAGGTACCGTATCACTGAAAATTAGTGAGCTGGTGTTGTTTCAGGATTCAAGGATTGTGAGCTTTGAGCTGATCATATCAAGCTCCAGTTTACTGCAAATGTTGGAACCTTCTTGTGTTTTTATTGGTCTGAATTGCTGTTAACCTGAGTACCATTAGTCTCCTACTAAAGAGTGAGGCATGAGTAGTTTGTATAATGAACCTTGCCTTATGTCTCAGCTAAGTATGCATATAGATATACAGGGATATTGGTGTTTGGGTACTGTAAGTAATTATTAACCATACTTAAATCCATGCTTGGATCGAAGCGTGGTTATGTGCTCCTCAATGTGTCTTCAGGATGTTACCTCTTTCCTGTCTTCCTTTCTCTCAGGGCACCGTTCCTGTGCAGGGGAGAGTCTGGCTTATGCAGAGATTTTCATCATGTTCACATCACTATTGCAGAAGTTCTCTTTCACCTGTCCCGGAGGGCCACATTCTCTTGACGTGACTCCAGTGCCCAGCTCTTTTGCAAACATTCCCCAAGCATACCAGCTCATTGCCACACCCCGGTGAAACAGAAACCGTCAACATTTTCCCTGAAACTATTACATCCACTGCGGCCTTTGCTCCATTTCCAAAGTGCACCTTTCTAGAGGATCATACAAATCAATGGGAGCAACAGTCCTATCTGTAACAGCTCTGTCAAGACTAAAGAACTGTGACCCGAGACTTAACCAGGCAACTTCACAAAGTGCTGTAGCACCATACCTTGTAAAAATATTTTTCCTTTTTAATAATTAGAAAATATTTACATGTATTCTAATGATGCTGCAGATAGGCTAGTTCCCTTAGAAAAAGATCACTTTATTGGGCATATACAATGTCTCCATGAGAGACACAGACAGGGAGAGAAGCTTGGGATCAGAGCGCAGGGTCAGCCATTTATACGGCGCCCCTGGAGCAGTTTGGGTTAAAGGCCTTGTTCAGGGGCCCAGCGGAGTAGGATTCCTCTCAACCTTCCAGCCACAGGTGCAGATCCTGAGCCACAGAGCCACCGCACCCTTATTTGGCATTTTCACATTAACTTTACATGTAAGGGCTATGGTTTTACTAGGAAAAGAAATCCAGTAAAGTTATTACTAAAAGTTTATAGCCTGACCACATTGTGTTATAAATCCCATGCAGAATCCAATTTTTCTTCAGTTCTATACAAGCCCCTTTGTGATTATTGTATTCAGCTTCCAACCAAAATCATATGGTGAACTTGGTACAAGAAGGACAAAATGTGACCTTCCTAATCTCACACAAATCAAACTAAAGCATATAAATCAGCCATAATTAACATTTAAAAGTAACATTTTTGCTGAACTAGTTGCAAACCTTGTTTTCAGCTTCAAATCAGTCTTGCAAAGAAGATAATGCTGTATACATATTTTGTGTACTAATTAAAATTGTAAATATTTCTTTCCAAGTTTTGATTCCAATTACTCTATCGCCAGAACTGTGCCTGAAATTTTTTTTTTAAATGTAATTTCTCAAATGCTTCAAATTTTACCTAACACTGGTTGCTTTTGCATTTACAGTTTTGTTGTTTTTTTTTTGTTCATAAGGGAATTATCAATATACCAGTAATAAAAACGTAACATTTGGCACGTAAGTGATTCCCATGAAGTATATGTTGGTGTAACCGATTCCCTCCCCACCCCCAGAATTCCGAGGTCACTCTTCCAGGGTCACCCCGAGAGCCCCAAGGCCATTCATCTGGGGTCATGCCTAGAGCCCACTACCGTCAGACAGAAGGCTGACTGTCAGTTGGTCTGGGCCCTCTTGGCCTTTGGTGGAAAAGCACCTCAGTCCTGTGAGAGAAAACCACCATCTAACCTTAAACCCCAGTACTTTATTCAGAGCATTATCACAGCCAAGTTAAACTACTTACAGTAAATGGATAAAAATTAAACATGAGCAAGAGGCTCTTATTAAAACGTAATAAGAAATAAACTATTGTATTCAGACAGCTAAGGAGAGATCTTTATTGCATTTTTGCCATATACAAGTTAAACAGAATGAAAAAAATATTGCTATTGTAAACCAAATACTACTGTTTGGACATTTAAGACCAGGCTTGTCTGCTATGGTTACACAAAGGTGTAATGGCTTAAAAAAACAGTAAGAAAACAGTCTGTCCATTAGGTTTGTGTGTCCTTTGATCAAGAGTACAGTAAAATCAACCTGACTTTACAACCGTTCCTTTTCTCCAGGCAGTCCGATTACTGGGATGTCCTTATTTGTACTGCTCTTTTCTTTTCATCTGCTCTGAATAGTGGAATGTCCTGTCGTCAGCCTTCTAGCCTAGAGGAATGTTAAATCTTAAAACCATTGCACTGTTACCTCTTAGTTACTTCCATACACTACCAACACCTGTGAACCTTCCCACAACCTACCTACTGAAGTATTTCCTTCCTATTCCTGGTCACTGAGTGCTCAGGCACCAGGCTGCTGCGTTCCTGAACATGGTCAGCCACGGGGAAGGGGAGAGGGAGGTTCTGAAGGACGTGGGGGCCCAGGGCCACTGCCAGGACAGCACCGCTCGCTCAGGGTGGGGCATCATGGCCAGGTGCCGGCCATCTTCCGAGCAGAGCCCCGCCAGGCCCTGGCAAGAGCCATTGGGGTTCATGGGGTACTCCTCCGTGGGGGCCCCCGCGTCATCCACGTAGCGCAGCGGGGCCAGGGACGCGGACAGCAGCCTCTCCAGAGCGGCCTGAGACCGGAACTGCATGAGGCCTGCAGGAAGGGGACAGCGGCAGAGACACACGAGGAGGAGAGAGGGAGAGTGTGACGTTGTGGGTTATTCTGGAGATTTCCTGGCCCACCTGTCTTCTAATTAATTAGTCCAGACACCTTCCATTAATCATTAAGACTATAGCAGATATTTACTAGTATGTTATTTCAATTACATTGATTTATTTTAAGTGGCAAGAGCCTTTATTCACTGATTCCCTCACTACAGAGAACAGACAGGCCTTGGATGAACGACAAGCCTGGCTCCAGGAGTCAGAGCAGAGCAGAGGCCAGACGAGAGAGAACAGAAAGAAAGCTGCCACTCACCCTCTCCATGTGCCACCCACACGCCCAGCGTAGAGCCCTCCATGCCCTTTAGCATGATGGCAGGCGACGGCAGGATCCCCAGACTCACGAACCGCGACTCAAACCGCCCCGACGTGTTGTGGGTCAGAACCACGCTGTGCTGTGACGCTCTGCCCCCTGCTGGATGGAAGCAGAAAGGAGAAGATTCTCGTATGAGAAAGAAATCACATTAACCTCAATTTTGCATAAGGGCTCTTAAACTATGTACAGGTCAAATACAATAAGTGAAAAATAATCAAAAATAAAGTTCTTTCGCCAGTACAAAACAGTTTAAAAGAACTGTCCCCGACTGTGTAATACATTTTTGTACTTCCTCTGAATTTGGAATATGCTAGCAGAAATGTGGCGAAGCAGTTCCAGATATTCATTTTACAGAACATACTATTCTTTTACTCTCCTAAAGGACATGTTATATTAAAAATATTTTGATTACTCATAAATGACTTGTTTACAAAACACAAACAATTTAAACCTAAGGAGTGTAATATAATGGCAGCAGAGTGGCGCAGTGGCTAGCATTGTTGCCTCCCAACCCTGGGGCCCTGGGTTCAATGCTAAACCTGGGGTGCTGTCTGTGTGGAGTTTGTATGTTCTCCTGGGTTTCCTCCAGTTGCTCCGGTTTCCACCCACAGTCCAAACACATACTGGTAAGTTAACTGACTTCTGGAAAACTGGCCCTGGTGCGAGTGTTTGTGTCTATGTGTCTTCCCTGTGGTGGACTGGTGTCCCGTCTAGGGTATTCCCCACCTTGTCCCCACTGCTTGCCAGGACAAGCACCATTACCCTGAACTGGAGGAAGCAGTTACAAAATGGATGGGTGTAACGTTAAAACATAATGGGGTAAAAACAGCATTTTGAGGATCAGATAAGAAAGGAAGAAGCCATCGCCCTGCCGTCTCGGAGCCCCCCTGAAGCGGTACCTGTCCCCGCTGGGTCCTCAGGGTGGGCTCCCACCCAGCCAAGCAGGGCCATCAGCTGGCAGCCGTTACACACGCCCAGGCTGAAGGTGTCCTGGCGACAGCGGAAGGCTTCAAACTGAGCCTTTGCGCGGGGGTTAAAGGTCACGGTGGCAGCCCATCCTGGGTGGAGAGAGAGAGCAAGATGAGTGCGAGTTAGAGGGAGAAGACTGTGAGCTATCCAAGAGGAGGAGGGCTACTGAGAGAGAGGGTGAGACAAGAGACAGAACCCTTTGTTATAAACACACGTATATAGTTTATTCTCCTGCTGTTTTCAAGAGACTACTGAGGCCAATCAGCCGTAGAGTTAGCACATTCCCAGTGATCTGTGGCTCGATCCTGCAGTACCTTTAGCGGAGCCCAGGACATCTGCATAGCTGAAGCCGCCCACAAACACCACACCTCTGAAACGTTCAAGGGTCACAGAGCCACAGCACAGATCCTGCATGGTCACATCCCATACCTGAGAGGGATAAAGATAGAGTATGAATTACCAATCCATACCATTACTAACATCTTATTACTTAACCAAGAATTGAAGACTTTTTTCATAGGAACATCTATCTCAAGAAGAACTATTTTTTTTGTTTCATGCTTGGGCTGTTAGGGGTATACACTGCAGATTCCCTGTCAAAATGAAACAACTCCCAGTAATGATAAGACTAAAGGAAATGTTATTATTATTATTTGTACTTACTTTCTGAATTATTTTAAATACATATACGTTAAGTGCTTTTTAATATGTAAAATGGCCTTTCTTCACAGATTGTATCAGTGTAGACAAATTAAATATAGACCTTAGATTAAATATAAACCTGGCCTCCAGGAATCAGGGCTCATAAATTGAGAAGTTCGAGTTCCAAACCTGTAATGGGCAATCATGACCACTAGAGGGGGTGAAACTGCTGCTGGGCTGCACATCCGCCCTGTGGTTTCCCACAGAGGGAAACTGTTATTCAGTTAGATCTTATAATTTCACTAGAATTAATCTGGAAGCCCCTAACTTTAATGGCAAACAATTAAAAAAAGGAATGACTGCTTAAGTTTAACCGGAAGGTTGTGTTCTGCCTGTTCAGTAACAGTTAATGCCAAGAGGGGGCCAAACTTAAATTCCTCAGGGTTGTGCGAGAGTGGGGGCCGTACCTCAAATCCGGCCATGAGCAGAGCAGCGGCCATCTCTCGGTCCCCATTACTGCCCTCCTCGCGCACAACAGCCACTCGCGGCTTTTCCTGGGCTGGGCAGACGAACAACAAATAGTTTCACACACGTGAACAGGTTCATAACCTAAGAGGTCATGGGTCAAACTTGAGGGTTTGTTTATCTTTCTTACAAGATCATGGAATCCTTAGGAAAATTAAGCAATCTTTAGAACAGCTGGATCAGCAACTTCATTAACACTGCACAGTGAATCTGAAAATGTGCAAACTAACTGTTCTAATGTCACACAACTCAACCATAACCTTTTACCACAACTACTTGACACCTGAAGAAGGCTTCACAGCTGGAACGTTGTGTCTCTTTTCTTTTCAGCACGGAATAAACCTTCTCCTGTTGCTTCACAACTTTTTATACCCCTATCGCCTCCTCTTAGCCCCTCCCCCTTGCCCCTCTCCCCACCTTACCCAGGTCTTTCAGGACGGGAGGGGTCTGGGCTGGATCAAAGGTCAGCTTGTAATTGGGCGCTGTGCGTCTAGCTAGCCCCTCCTCTTCCTGCTGCACACAAAGCGGATTGGCCTGTAGGCGCTCCAGCTGGAAACTGGTGGACTCCCACAACGCCCTGAGGTCGGGCAGTCGTTCACAAAGCACTTCCTGTCCACACACACTCACCCTGACCTGGAAGAGAAAGGAAAACGGGCTGCAGAGGTCAGCGAAAGGTCAAAAGGTGGCACAGCAGTACAGCTGGAGTGACAATAAAGAAGTGGGTTGTTATTAGTTTAATGGGAGATTTATCCTTTTCATCCTTTTTAATGAGAATGAAAGGATTAGATACGAGCACGATAATGTAACCCACAGTTCTTCAACTCTGGTCTTCAAGGGGATAGGTAATGATATAAAGACATACAGGGAGAATCCTGAATTTCCCTAATTATGTTGCAAGTACTGTCAAGGCCCAGCCCGGAGATCAGACGATGTGGTCCAGCACCTGTGCTTTTAACAAACTGCTAGTATTCTGCTCACAGTGTGGGTCAGGCATTACCATGGACTGGGGTCCAAAGCCTGTTGTTCTGCCAATCCTGTGACAGGTGAGGCCTGCATCAGAGTAGCTCTGACACACCAGGGACACACTGGACTCAGACACCTCCAGAACCAGACCCAGTTCCTCCGAGAACAGGACATCTAGCACTGTAAGAGTGAAAGTACAAAGTAAGGACATGTAAGGACAAGTGAAAAACCTTCTGGATCCACACCTTTACATTTCTGGATAACTAATTGCTTTTAGGAAAAACTGTAATAGTTTGTGCCCGTTCCGCATACATGCGTACATACATAACAGTATTTTTCAAGAAAGGGTGCTTAATTTTTTTTTATTAATACGACAAAGAAAAGATAAGGAGATGGAGTAGAAGGAAGAGGAGACAACAGAAAAACAGAAGGGAGGTAAATAGGAAGGGGAATGAAAGGTAAGAAGGTACATTAAGTGATTACAGAGGACAGCAAAAGATGAGAGGCAGACAGAGTGGTAAAGCCTTAGATACACACTGACCTCCAGGACCCTGCAGGGGCAGGTCCACCTCTATCCCACGATTCCCGGCGAAGGCCATCTCCAGAAGGCAGGAAATCAGCCCTCCATCACTGACATCATGTCCTGCGCTGAGCAAGGAGTCTGACGGAAAGAGGGGGGGGGGGTCAAATATTCACTCCTGCGTCCATAGCGACAAGCAAGTGAGTTGAGTAGTGATACACAGGCCCCTTCAGGCTCTGCAGAGGGGTCAGAGGTCAAAGTCAAGAGAGTAAGACAGAGTATACAAGTGTCAGAGAAAATGAAAGGGTAAGTGGTGAAGGAGAATGTGAGGATGAAATGCACACCATCTGAAAAATGTATAATATCTAAAAATGTACCATACTGGCCTACAGAGACCACAAGGAAGAGAGAGAAGCGGCTCACCCTGTATAAGGCGCTGGGTGGTGTTGAAACAGGTGACCAAATCTCGTGGACAGTCAAGGTCAGGGGCGCAGTCTCCCAGCTGAGAGAAACACTGAGCCAGAGCAGAACCGCCCAGCCGGTACTGACCCACACACACAGGCACATACAGCAACACACCTGCAGCACCAGACAGAAACATCCTTTGACACAACCGGACGTCTTTTCAGACCAATACAGCCTTCTTTGGGCAAGAGGGCTACTTGTGTCGTATACGTCCGATGGAGCAACAGACCCTTTGGAGCTCATGAATGAGGCGGGGATCACAGGAGTGAGAAGATGAGATATTACGATGATGAACTGAATACGTGCTTTCATAAAATTTTAAGTGCTCATTTATCCTTAAACAAAACCATCACAACAAAAATGACATTCAGATTGTGATTACCATAGCTGCAGCCTGAGGATTTAATTCCATAAACTGGTCTTGAAGGTTCAGCAAATTATCAGCACCCTACTTATTACCCCCAGTCTCAGTCTCTCTGTTCACCACCCGATCCTCCCCACAGTTATCTGCTGTGTCACGTCTTTACAAGGGCTACAAATGAGTGGAAGCCAAGAACTAAGCAGGGGATTTAATCCATCTCTTTCTGTAAAGAAGCCAACATTTCAGCTTCAACAACATGGCTGGGTAGCTTGTTCTATATTCCCGCAAGCCCTGTGGGAAAAGAAGAGCCTTTATGATTTTAGAAGTTGATACCCCTTAGGATACCTCACCTTTGCCTTCAGGGTCCTTGAGGTCAGGGGTCACAGTGGCAGTAATGTCAGGACTAACAGCATAGACTGAGATCACCAAAGCACCTGGGGGAGACAGAGAGAAACGTTATTGATTACAGGCTGAATGAACAGCTGCACCTTAATTAAGATCCACACAGACATATGGCAATAAAGACAGACAGATGGTACACAGATATGCAGTCTGGAGAAGTAATGACTCCTAACTGGGAGGCTGTGAGTAAAGATTCCTGTTGTACAAAATAGAACAAGGTACTTCACACAGGGTGCCTCAGCAAACAGCCCGCATGTATGAATGAGAAGCACATGGAGTCCAAGTTCCCTTCGATACGTTATCAATAAAACTATTAATCAATAGCACAAACACCACGCTACCTGGTGCCTTGACAGTGTGCCCACCGACACGTGCTGCCATGCTCAGGGAGTCTTTGCCCCCATCCACGGCCACGCCCAGCTGGCCCATGACATCACACATTGCCTGGCACGCCTCGCGGAGCGCCGCGCCCTCGCCTGGCAGCTTTGCGGCCCACATCCAGTTTCCGCTGCATTTCACATCCTGGCCGCCAGGGGGAGACAGAGACACAGCGAGCATGAGCTGAGGTTTCGAGGGAGACTCAACCAGCAGAGCAAAACACAGCAGGAGGAGGGAAGCACGGACGACTGTAGTGAATGTTTGTCCTACAGGAAAACAGCAGGAAGACCGGGGAACTTTGGCACTTCAGAAGGTAGCAAAAGATCCTACAGAAGGCGGAACAGCGAGAAGGCTGTTTTTTTTTTTAACTTGTGCCTCGTCTTTAGAGCCGAGTGTAACTGCTCAAGCACCTAGTCTTGGATAATCCAGTGCTGTTGATTTGTCAATCAAAAAAAATAAAGAAAACTTGTAAAGCATACAGGTGACACAAAAACAGAATGGATAACACACAAACACTCCAGAAGCTGTGAAGGAAATAGAAAATGATTCAAGACTGGGCAGAAACCTAGCAATTTAAATGTTTAATGCGTGTGGCATCTTCATCCTCTGACCATAAAGTGCTATAAAATATAAGGTCACTCACTATTGTTTTGAATATGTGCTCATTCCAGTTACTAAATTCTTTAATAGGTCGGCGATTTACTCTCCAAAGATTTTCCTCACATACATGCCCCCCCCAGCAACGGCGAGGTGAGAGGAGAACGGAAACGCACCCTGAGTGCGGACACGCGCGCGAAGACCAGGTTGGTGAGGGCCTCGCCCACCGCCATGCGCGCCCCCGCGGCTGGGGACACCAGGCCTTTCACAGGCTGCTCCCCCACCGCGGTCGCCGCCCCCACACAGTCGAAGGGGGACAGCGCTACCACGGCGACGTCGGCCAGGGGCGTGTGGAGCGGACCGACGCACTGCTGCTGCGCTACCAGCCCCGTCACTGAGCGGTCCACCTGGGGGCAGAGAGAGACGGAGTGATGGAGGAACGCCGAGACGGTGACTGGCAGGGGGAGACGGTGAAGACCAGGGAACTGGCGGGACGGACCTTGTTAGTGAGGAATCGTTTGCTGGCCACAGCCGGCAGCCTCAGCACGCGCTCCAGTGCCACTCGAACGGACAGGTCAGGGGGCAGGGTCAAGGGTCGAAGGTCGGGCTTCATACTCTTCAAAACAAACTCCTGAGGGAGATGACAATGAAGTTCAGTCAAGGCCAGTGCAAAAGAGAGGCCCCCCTAGCCCACTTGTTAAATGATAATTAATTGATCCAGGTATCTCATCCAGCCTTTTCTTGAAGTAAGCAAAAGTATTGACTTCAACCACATGGCTGGGTAGCTTGTTCTGACTCCCACCACATTTGAGTAAAAAAGTACTGTGTGTTCTTGGTTTTATACTCGGTCCGGGTAGTTTCCGCTTGTGTCCTTCGGTTAGTGTTTCACTGTTCATTCTGAAGAAATCCTCTGGATTGACTTCGTCTGGGCCTTCTGGGATTCTGACTACCTGCATCAGGACCCGTCTAAAGGTTTATTTCCTTCAGCCTTCCATTTGAGGAAAATCCTTTAAGCTCTGATAAGTACCTAGTTTCTCTTCCGTGTACTGAGTCCAAAGCCAAAATATATTTTTTGTAATGTCATAACCACAATTTTATACAGTATTCTAACTAATACCTTGTTAAACATGTTCTCCACAGTTTCAACAACCCTTGATCTGAGTTTAGGTTTAAGACTATATTGCCTCATTTTTTGTTTGCCCTTTTTATTTCTTCCCCAAATTGCCAGAAGTTGTGAGTAATATGTTATTATTAACTCCAAAGACTGTATTTTGTATAACTGTAAAATGCAGTCCAGGCTCAAAGCTGACTGAAATTCTGATCAATCAAGATTGATCATGCCAGCCCACCTTTCCTCCACCTAAGTATCCAGCTTTCATGTGGTTGTTCTCTACTTGAACAGCATGAACGGGGACTGAGGCTCCCTGTGACGGCACAGCACTCCACACAGGTGCCCTGAAACCTCCATTGGACCAGACATCTTCGAAAGGATGTGTGGGTAGACATTCAAGACTGGAGTAAAAAAACCCAAGCAAAAAGCACACTGGAGCAATGGAGAAAACCGACACTGGAGCCGAGCAGCTCCTGCGCCCTCGGCCTGCTCCCTTCTCTCACCTTCTGCGGCATCTTCCCCAGCACCCAGTCCAGCTCCAGGTCCACTGGGCACCTCACTGCGTCACCCTGGGCAGCAGGCCCATGGAGGTCATCCACCAGCACAACCTGCAAATGGTGCAAGGAGTCAGAAAGGCATTGATGAAGAGAGAATAAACCGAGCCAGAGAGACAGACCAAGGTAAACAACCATACAGGACATGCCGGAAAATGTACAGAGATGGGTGCATATCACAGAGAGAAGGGTCAGACACTAAAACCAAGCAGATAATGAGGAAATTAAAAAAATCTATATTATTACAGTGTAGGATGGCGACAGGAAAATAAAGAGCTGTAATGCCACATTGGGTCACAAGAGGGGGTGAGAGCCTTCTTTAAAATGTTGGCAAGGGACTTGTTCTTTGAGACTACCCCCCTGGGTGAAACACTGGAAAACAGATCAACACAGGGGAATTCCACGAGAAACTCAGGTGTCAAAGGGTATGGTCTTAAAAAAGGCAAGACAAACAACACCGCTGAAAGAGCGGAGCTTTATTGGGTCAGCCAGACCTCTACTACAGCTTAAAAAAAAAAAGAGTGTACAGGTCAGTTATCCAACACTGACCAGGACAAACAGGTTTTTACTGCACAAACAGGTAAAAAAAGCTTCTTTTCTCTTTCTAAGGGAAACTAGTTACTAAAGCAATACTTGTGAAAAGAACATTTGATTCATAAGCCAACAAGGGCATGTTTACTGGAGTTTCAGGGACAAGTTTCACAATAGAAAAAAAACATCTGCAAATATGCTGGTCAAATAAAGTCAATCTCACAAACGGATGAAGATTAACATTCTGCACAAGGACTGAGAACAGAAGCATGAAGCAAGCAGGCCCACTGACCTTGCCATCCCCAGTGATCTTCCCAACAAAATCCAGGGGACACTTTTCTCGAGCGCACACTTTCTGCAGGAAGTCTCGGTCAGAGGAGCGGATGAGCAAAGCATTGCTCTCTTGGTATTCCGCCCCCCAGATCTCCAGCACACTGAGCGTGGGGTCACCTGTCTGAGACCGAGAGAGGGGTGTGAGCCCAGAGCAGCTTTGCCAGAAGAATAGGGGAGGGAGGAGGCCTCACCTTGAACTTGCTGGCGTAGATAATGGCTCCTGCTGGCTCAATCAGCTCCTTCAGAACATTCCCTGCACACACACACACAACACGCCGTCACTCCGAAACCCCTCTCTGCTCTCACAGGACAGGCCTCGAAATTTCACAGCCTCTCCTGCAGCTCATGTCGATGGCTGTGTCAATTCATACTCTTCAGGTTGTTGGGTTTTTAATTGAAAGCAAGGTATTTTGTTGCTCTTAAATGTGTTGTTTGGCATTTTTCTCTCAAACAAATGGAAAAATCGCTTTGCTGAACTTGACAGAGGATGGCTTGTAATGCTCTTGACTTGTTTCCTGGAGTGCGTGCACCCTGCTTACCATTCCCCCCAGCCCCCTGGTCGTGGATGCTGCACACAGGGTTCCGGTCACAGCGCTCAATGCAGGCCCTCAGCGCACGGTTCATCTTCTGCTCCATCTCCGCATCGCCCCGCTGCACCGCCCCAAAATCCAGGTCGCTGGAGTTGTCACCCTGCACCTACTTGCACAGACATGATCTGTATCGCAACAAGCTCAGACCTGCCACTGACGCACACAGACATGCAGCGGCAGACACTCAGACACGCAGACACGGTCACTGATGGCACAGAGGTGGAGCCCAGTGGAAACACAGGACTCGAACTGGGAGGAGGGTAGGAAAATGGAGGACAATGGGAGATGGGGGATGTACGTGCCTGTATAGACGAAGCTGCCCCTCCTCCAACGCCGATTCTGTATACAGGACCCCCAATCTTTACCACCTCCATTCCTAAGAAAGAGGGAGACGGGGTTAGAGAGAACATATCCTACATGTATTCATAGTATGAATGAATCCCTTCTTAAGCATAAACAAAATTAAGCATAATTTAATAGATTTTACAACTGTAGCTTCCCTTTACACGTAGACTTCAATATTACAACTTTGCCTTTAACTAGGTGAGCGCTGAGCAGTGAGGGCTCAGGCATCCCCTGAAACCTAGACTTCACTGTTATATTATTCACAACTGGGGATTCATCACATACAATGAGAAGAGTCTGTGAATTACATTCAAATTTTGATGCAGGTAATAGCTGACACAGACATTGCATTAAGATTGACAATATGCAGAAGCCAGGGACAATTCCTAAACCAGGACTTATCCGAACTCTAGAGCTCTTGTCGAACAGTAGTTTAAGTATCAACCAAAATATCAAAAGTGACTAAATAATCTTCAACAAAATGTAACATATTTCTGCTATCTTCCTACCCCAGATTAACCATTTGAGCAGCTAGCAGCAACAAAACGAGCTAGAAAGGCCGATCTGCCTCCTCCTGTTTGTATTGTCTGCTGTGTTTTTGGGTGTCGGTGGGAAATAGCCCAAGGTGACTGGTTCCTCACCTGGCTCCGCCCCCTCTTTGGCGACATGCCGGTCATCGATGGAGCCCACTCCCCCGCTGAACATGATCGGCTTGATCCACTCCCGCCTCTCGCCACTCGGCAGCTGCATCCCGAAAGAGCGGGCGAACCCTGGAGACGGAAGAGGACAGGGATGAATGAAGGCCCGTCTTGCGTCACCCTTACCCATACCCCAGCCTTTTCGTCTTGAACCGCACAGAACCAGGACTGCCACAGCACAGCATGAAGGGAGTTGAATAAAGGAGGCCGTGTTCATGGTCTTTTAAAAGAGGAAAAAGCTGGTGTGTTATTAAATCTTCACTGCCTTACACTGCTGAAAGCAGTTCTGGTCCCAGAAGAGCTGGTACTACCAGGTTACCAGGTTTCATAGTTTAGGAACAAACAGAAGATGAATCAGAAGACTGCTGCAGGACAGCAGGGGTACCTGCCAAGACTGGCTCGCCAAACTTGTTCCCGTAGTCGGACGCCCCATCACTGGCTTCGATAGCAACCTGGAGGGGGGGCGCGAAATTGGGAGGGTATTCCCACCCCTCCTCTTCCCACGGCAGGGCATAACCTGAGAGACAGAGAGACAAAGGACAAAGAGGGGAGAAAAAAGAGAAAGAGAGAGAGAGGAAAGCTCAGGGTGGTAGAGGATATAGCAATCGTTTTGATTTCATTTTAAATATATCAAACCTTAAAAACTGATTAATGTACAGCATTACTTAATGTAAAACAACTTTGCTACATACAGACAAGTGTTATTTAAGCAACATGCCAGCACAAACCAAACTCATAGGTTTATTTATTGGGTCAACAGAAACTTAACAACAGCTGGCAAAACTGAGCAATATCCTGCATGGCTTTTCTCATCAAAGCAGCCTGTAAGTTTGCCTTGTTTTCCTTTCCCACAAACATATATAGGGGGGATACAAGCAGTACCTAAAGGCCATCAAAAACCAAGCAATTAAAATGACCAAGGGTACTTCCTGTGCAATAAAAGGTGTCAAGTGATATCTAACTACAGAAATGTTGTTGTCAGACACCAAAAAATCATTTACATATCTAACACCACACTCATTCAAGGCCCCTCAGGACAATTCCGGATCACCCAGATGGCATCTTGTACCTCCAGCAACCTTATTTACTGCATCTTTTGCAGTAAATGCCCAGCCATCTACATTGGAGAAACAGGAAGGAGACTCGGAGACCGCTTCTGAGAACACGTCAGGGCTGTGAAGATTAAAGATCTCTCCAAGCCCATTGTTTCTCATTTCACCTCTGACGGCCACGACCACACTAATCTCTCCGTCTGTGTTCTCAAAGACGGTTTTCCGAACTCATACATCAGAAAGACTACAGAAACTAAAATTATACTGGAGCTAGGCTCACGACAGACTACTTTTCTTCTAAATTCTCTCTATTCATTGTAGGTTTCATTTCACACTTCTCTTCACCTATCCTGACTTCGCACCTCCTGATTGGCCTCTCTGTCTGTCCCCTGTTCCCGCCTCTGGCCCCTCCTCTCTCCCAGCTTTTGTTCTCCAGCTACATTCCCTTTGCTTACTGTCCTGTCTTTCTCACACCTGAAGAAGGCTCCGCGGCCGAAACGTTGTGTTTTCTTCCTTCTCTTTTCAGCATGGAATAAAAATATTACTGGTTCCTTTGCACCAGAAAATCATTACAGCTTTTGCAAAAATATCTGCCCATTAAAAAACCCAAAACCCGAGTACATTTGAGTCCGGTTACAGATTCTTCTTTAAACACTGACTGACATCTCTAATCACACAGGGAGTAAGAAGGAGGGGGCAGCAGGAGGGTACGAGGGTACGAGGGGTGGCAGCTCTCACCTGGGAGGTGGAGGTTGCCGAAGCAGTATCCCGCGGTGCCGGCGATGATGTGCGCTCCCCGGCCCGTGCTCTGGACATCGCGGATACGCCCCCCCGTGCCTGTGGTGGCACCGCTGAACGGAGCCACGCCTGGAGCGAAAGACAGGACGGGAGAGGAGAGGCAGGGCCGAAACAAGGGGACGCCCGTCACTTGTAAGCTACAGCCGCCTGAAGAACAAACACTGGCAATTTCAATGCTTTCAGTGACGGAGGGGGGGATAAGCAAAGAGGAAAAATACAGCACCGAGACGAAAGGACAGATGGGATAACCAGGAAACAGAGGGGCAGCAGAAACGAGCCCGGGATTTGAATACAGAGGGGAGTGGGGGTCATGGCGAGACACGGGGGTGTCGGGAGCTGACCAGTGGGGAAGTTGTGCGTCTCAGCGGTAAAGATGACATGACGAGTGGCGTGCAGCCTGCGGTAGGGGCTGGCCTGGGCTGGGTCCTCAGGGTACAGGCACTCCACCTCCCGGCCCTGGATACCACTGCGCACGCACGGACACGGACACGGACACTGCTGCAGTCAGACACGGGCTTGCTGCTTCTCCCTCTCTCTGTCCCTACTAGCCCAAAACCTCCCGCATTCCCAGCCCTGACCTCTAGTGCACACTGCCTCCCTCTCTGTCACTCCCTTCCCTCGGACTCCAGATTTCACACTCGGATTCCAAGAGCTTTATTGGCATGACCAACTGACTGCCAAAGCAGATACAATTAACAACATTTACAGATATTTTCAGTATAAACACAATATTAGACATTTGGATGCAACACATAAAACATTACTGAAAGACAGGCTTACTGTGTGTTCCCCAGGCTGTGTCAGGAAATCAATCACACTGTATTATTATTATTATTATTAATGAGAGACAGGCTATTCTATTTTCTTCTCCCCTCCCCCAGGAGGAATGGGAGCTGTTTCTGGCAGGTGTGAGAATTCTGGGATTAGATATGTTATTTTAGGGAAGAATGCTTGTCTGATCCCAGTGCGGTACAGCAGTACGTGCATCTCTGTCTCTGCCTATCCACACTGACAGTGGCAGCACCTCCTGTCCCAGACCTTCATGAGTCCATCTCAGTCATAATAATGCTACCTTGACCCCACCCATTCACCCTAAGGGTGTGATAACACACTGACTTCTTACCTGCTGTTGTCACAGAACTTGATAACATTATTTTGGTTGCTATGGCGCTGGGTACCCATAATGAGGCTGAAAAGAGACCCCTCCTGCTTCTGTCCATCAATTGTCATGGCACCTCTAAAGAACCAATGGCGGCTGTGCTCACTGAGGAGGCGGGACAAAGAGGTGGAGGATGTGTCAACTGTTATTGCCGAACAGAAAATGTTACATCTGCAAGCAGAATGAATTGTACACACAAACAGTTGCACTGCCCCCATCCCCTTCACCTGTTAGATTGGGCCAGGTCGAAGCACTCCACGCTGGTGGGGTTCCTACGAACCCTCTGGAACAGAGCAGTGTAATAATCCAGGTCCCAGTTGTCAAAGGCCAGTCCTGCACAACATCAAACACTGGCTCTCAGGGTGTGTCACCACTGGAAATTAACCCTAGCAGGTCCTTGTTAACACACTATAAAACAGCAGCCGTTGTTTAAGGCCCTCATCTGTTCTTAGTTAAATTACTTAATGTCAGATATTAAAGTCAGAAAACCTGCTTCATTTCTTATTTAAGAAGCACTCAAATCATCATGATTAATTTCCAAGCGCTTGATTCCCTTTTGGTAATGCAATGAATTGCAGGCAAGCACGTGTGTATATATCAATACATACTGTGCAATAGGAAAATAGTGCATAAAATGTATTTTAATAAGCAACACTTCATTTTCCTTTATTGTTCCTCTATTGACTTGAAATCTTGCTCTTGACTCCCTTTATAGATTAATAGATTGATTGGGTTCATGGATGTACATTAAACAGCACGTGAGGTAAAAATTTTCTTCTAAAGTAAAAAGCGTGGCAAATTCCGTAAGAGCCCCATGTGAAACCCATTAAGAAAAACTGAAAAAAACGTCAATCTTGTGACAAGTGAAATTATTTAATCTAATTAAGCATCTTGTGAGCCCATTTATGTTGTGCTGCAGTGTAGAACAGGAAGGTGCTCCATCTGACCAGACCTACAGTATATACTTAATACAACACAGTGATCGAATGGGACGGGATACTGAAAGACAGCCTTATTATTCACCCCCATTCCTCCCCCCAACTCCCCCATCATACAGGTATCTTTTTCTGGGCCCTACATACCCCCTGATTGGTTGGCTCCCTCTTCCATTTCCCTTACCCAGCTCCTGATTGGCTCTCTCCAGGGCGTGCCGACCCTCCCCTAGAATGTTGACCTCAAAGAGCTCTTGTGGGCGTGTCTCCACAGCAAAGGACTGGACAGGCTGGGAGTAAACACACTCCGTCATCCTGTCAAAGAGGGAGGCTATCAGTCGATCCACCTCTTCGGCTCTCAGCTTCTCTTCCTGGCCATCCCTGGGCTGTAGAGGATAGACAACTGCTTAGATGGAAATATCCAATTCATCTGCTCAGGTTAATCAAATCCCATCCCCCAATGAGACAACACAGTTTTAGTCCAGAACGCAAAGAACGCAATTCTTTTCCAGGAACGCAAATGTTTTCCAAGCATTCCTTCTCACCTCCCAAAAAACCCAAAAACTTTTCAATGAAAGTCTTCATATTATAAATGGGCTGAGTAATGAGTAATAATTTAAATGAGTTCTTGAAAATTCAGGTTCAGATATAGTAAACTTAATTATCAGCTTAGTTCTCTACAACTGCAGTTGCCCTGAAGGTGAATTGTGCAGATGTAGAGATACTCTCTTTGGGTATTTGTGAGGGCACATCCTAACAGAATTGATGAAAATACCTTAACTCAAACAAGAACAATATTTACAAAACTGTGAGGAGATGCTCCTACTGTACATTTAGAAATGGGCTCAAAACAGCTTTCC